ACATTCTCTCAGAGAGCTCGGAGGCAGGAAGAACACGAGAGCTAACCCCACCCTTTCAGTTCCCCTTTTTAGTTTCTTACATAAACCAGTGACCGTTTCTTCCTGATCCTACAGGCAGTCCTCACAGTGCCACCATGAGTCCTGTGCAGACAGGGTCACAGTACCAGGCCATGTGTTTGCAGTCAGGATAGGGGAGTGGTGGGGGCTGGAGAGACATGGGACAGACAGACCTATTTGGTGCATAGGGAACATGGGCCTGTTAGGCCTGCTATGTTGCATTAGTTGTCCCACAGAGTTCTGGGGACAACTAATGCAAAAATGGACAAGAGCAGGGGTCTAAGTGCTCCAACGGGGGCACTGCTCCAAGTGTGCACCAGCCCTTTTGCCCTTGAATGAGTCCAACAATCCACTGGACATCATCCAGTGAAACTCTGCCTGGAGATGAGCCGATGAGGGACAGGAAGATGGCCCCACGGTCACCAGTGGTCCCCTGGCCAGAGCCCCTTTCCTGGGCAGGTTAGTGGATAGCTTAGCTAGAGCCAAGAGCAAGTTGACTAGGACTAGGTCCTGGGTCTCAGTGGGGCCACAGATGGAGAACGTATAAGCCAAACCGCGCAGGGCAAGGGCAGCCACAGGCTCAGCTGGAGGCTCCTGAGGCAGTGACTGCAGCTTGGTGCACTCAGTGGAGTGCACCAGTGCCCCTTTCTGCTGGCAGAAAGGGCAGGTGTCCATGAAACGTGCCAGCACTGGCCTGTGGTCATGACTCCGGGGCAGCGCCTCGCAGCGCGGGCGCCAGAAGGGGCACGAGGCGGAGAAGGGCAGCGGCAGGGATTTGTGGTGGTGTCTTTTCTTGGCCCGGCCACACCCGGACGGGGACTGCTGCGGGGCCCGCCCGCCCCCACGTGCTTCTATGCGTGGCGGCCTCCTCCGCGCTGCAGTGCCAGCTCCGCGCGGCGTCGCTCCAGTCGCCGAACAGCTTCCCCAGTCCGGGAGCCTCCCGCCCGCACTCGGCCCCGCCCCCCGAGCGGAGCAGCCCATCAAAGCAGCTCAGGCAACCGCGGGCCTCCCGCGCCCCGCCGGAGCAGGGGCACGGAGACCCGCGGGTCAGGGCGGGGCATACAGGGCAGAGCCACTTTTCAGGCACATGGCGCAGCCACTGGGCCCACGCGCTGTGACACGTAGCCTGGCCTACCGGCGGCACCCCCCTCCCACGTGATGCACATGATGACGTATCTGCGAGCGGAGCGCCAAAGTCTCCTTCCCTGCCAGGCGGTTCCGGCAGCAGGCGGCGCTCTAGCCCGCCTTTAGTTTCTCTGTGGTTCTGGCCTTTGCTGCAGTTCCTTTGTTTCCGCTTCCGGGGCGTGTGCTCCTCTTGGCGTCGCCGCTCCTGCCGGCAAGATGGTGAGAGCGGCGGTTCGCGGTATCCGGCGCCATCCGCCTCACGCGGCTATCGGCGCTGGGCCCGCGCGGGTTGGGGGCCGCTGTGGAGAGCGCTGGGCCCGGCTCGTGGGGGGTGGAGGCCAGGGGGAGTGGGAGCCGCAGAGCGGGGCAGGCGTGTCCTCTGCTTGGGCTCGGACCGGGCTGTAGTGCGGGGGCGTGGTTACTGCGGGCGGTGGCGTGGGGGAGGATAGGGGGGTTACCTTGGGCAGTGGCCGCAGGCTCCAAGCGCTGCGCTTGCTTCCGCCAGGTGAACGTTCCCAAGACCCGCCGGACCTACTGCAAGAAGTGTGGCAAGCACCAGCCCCATAAGGTGACCCAGTACAAGAAGGGCAAGGACTCCTTGTATGCCCAAGGTAAGGCGGCACGGGGTTGAGGTCTGACGGGCCTGGCTCAGTACAAGCTGTAGGGGGAGCACAGGCAGTGGGAGTCCAAGGTCTTCAATACCTAGTTTCATGTAGAGAAAGCAGATTATTTTAGTTTTCATAACCTTCTGTGGACCAGGTTTGCTCACCAGCAGTGCTGGGAGCCTCCACTTTCTGCTTCGGGTTGCTTTTTTAACTGCTGGCTCAAATGGATCTGTCTCTTCCCTCATAGGAAAGAGGCGCTACGATCGGAAGCAAAGTGGCTATGGCGGTCAGACCAAGCCAATCTTCCGTAAGAAGGTGAGCACTGACTACTGGCAAGTGGTTTCTGAAACACTGGTTATACGGTGTGCAGGATGAAGTGAGGGAATTCAAAGGGCTCTTGCACGGAAAATGGGATATCTTCCTGGGGGTGACTGCTAGTGGCTTTGTGTTGGGGATCTTGGTGTGTGCTGGCCTGAAGCTGAATCTTGTGTTTTGAGTGTAACTTGAGTTCCTGAACCGTGGCAGCTTATTTTGATGTGTGTGGTTTTTTTCTGTTTTTTGTCCAAATCTATAATAAATACATAGATAAGAAATCCTTTCCTTATGGTGGATTAACATGTACGTCTTTGAGCAGGACATGTTGTAGGCAAGCAAGGCACCTACTTAAAAACGTCTTGAACAAAAGCAACCTTCTCCTCATGATCTGTGTGAAAGAATCGTTGCAATCTGAGCAAAGTATTACCTGTTTCCTTATCCATATTGATGATTTCTTATATTACAGTATCATGACTGAAACACATTTGGGTTGTAAAACAGCCCACTCTAGGAGTTTCCATTCCATCACTGTTTTGCTTAAGGAAGTGACTTTCTGAGTCCTGAAAGCTGTGTAGACTAGGTCCATTAGGGGTATCTTGGGGGAGGGGAATGAAGCACCTTCTAGTGGTTCATAAAACAAAGGTGTCTAGAGAGGCAGTATAGTGTGTGTGGAGAGAGGTTTGAATGTATTTTTCTCCTTATGTTATCCCAGACATCTATGGGGCTTCTTCCTTTTTACCTTTTGAAAAAATACTTCCCAGTGGTGTTTGGGTTCCTTAAGAGAGACTAGTCACCGCTTTTAACTTGTTTGCTTGTAGCACACTTGGTGGTGGAACAAATTTTCTTTGTTACAAGATGGGGCACAAATGTACTCAGCATGGTTCTCTCAAAACTGTGAAGTATGAAAGAAGTAGCTGTTTTTGAGTTTTGGAGTCTGTTACCTGTGTAGTTTGTAACAATCGGGACCAACAGCATCCTGACCAGGAATGTGCAGGACCTAAGATGAGTGTGCTGTAAGCTGGGATTGGCATGAGGTAGGAAACGGGCCTCTCCAGGTCTGCTCAGGGTTCCTAGTCCTCTCTTTTAGGAACACTAAACTTTCTACCCCAGAAAGCTGTCACAGACAAGATGGCATTTTTTTCCCAGGCTTCTAGTTATTTTTTTTTTTGTGCTTTCTTACGAGGTTTCTGTTTAGAAAGGCAGTGTGTAGCCTGCTTCATACATAGCAGAAAATGCTGCTCCTTTTCTTTGCTAAATAATTGCTAATTCTGCCTACTACTGGAGATGGTATATTCACCTTCATTTTCTTGTTCCCCATTTCTGCCCTTCCCTTCACCCACCCCCCAGGCCAAGACCACAAAGAAGATTGTGCTGAGGCTTGAGTGTGTGGAGCCCAATTGCAGGTCTAAGAGGATGCTGGCCATTAAGAGGTGCAAACACTTTGAACTGGGAGGAGACAAGAAGAGAAAGGTTGGTGTTACGCATTGAGAGAGGTTTTTGGTTGCTGGTGAAAGTTAAACTGTGACTTGAGCTTCTTCGCAGCAGTCAGAACTACGTTTCTAGAGCTGACTAGATCTTGGCCACTCTTCCGTTAATGGAAATACCCTGCTATTTTGCTAGTTGGTAAGAGCTGGTGAAGTAATGAATCTACTATCCCCTGGATGAAATAATGAGGCTGCAAATGGAGTTTTTGGGAGGGAGGATAAGGTAATGTGCAGCAGTAGATTTTGTCGAATGGCTGCATAAGGTGCTATCGAACACTGCTGCAGAAGTGACACTGAGGCTGGCTAGAGGTTGGGATGTTTAATGCTGCACATACTTAGTCTGTTCTTTCTTTCTTACAGGGCCAGGTTATCCAGTTCTAAGCTCCACCTGCTATGGTACATTAAAGTATGTTGAAACAATCTGCTCCTCTCGTACTTCATCCTTACTGCTAGAGGTGGGGACTTGGCTATTGCAAATCCAGTGGGAGCTGCTCCTGGAGATCTGACAAGTGGCTGAAAATTAGTGTGTGGGGTGAGGTTGTTGCTCACAGAAGCTGTAAAATAAATTTCTCTACAGCTAGAGAGAGATGCCCTTGTATACAAGGGTTTGGGTGAGGAGTATAGTGCTTGCACTCTGGAGGCTCCTGCAGTCCTTTCAGCCTATTGTCCCACAGACTTCTATGTGGGAGTGTTGTGGTGCTGCTCTCATCACTGTTTTCAGGGCCAATGCGGTGGGGAGGGGAGGAGCAGGCAGGGGCGTGATTTGGGGCTGGGGGGGAAGCTGGCTTGCTATGTGTGGTGGGGGGGGGGATCAGCGGGCCGGCCCAATGTGGCAGCAGTGGGGGGAAGGAGAAGCAGGCCTCTTCCTCCTCCCTCATGTTGGCCCCGAGCCTGCTTCTGTCCCCCTGCTGCAGCATTGGCTTGGGCCCTGTTCCCCCTTGCACCATTGCAGCAGGCTAGCTTCTTCCCACCCTCAGGCCTGGTCCTCCCCCTCACCCCCTTGCATCAGGCCTGGGTCCACTCCTCTTCTCCTGTGTGGTGACAGGGTAGGTGGGAGCGGGCCTGGACCCAAAGTGGCAGGAGGGAAGTGGGGAGTGGGTCCGGGGGTGGGACACAGGGCTCCCCTCTCCACTCCCGTTATTCTTGAGGGGGAATAGGCTAGTAATAAAATAAATTCTAAATACCTATATATTTTGACATTTGATTTTGGTTATTTTATCATGGAAAATCAGAGCTCCCCCGCCCCCTTTGCTCACCAGGACACAGGTTGAGCTTTGGTTGCCCCCTATTGGTTTGTGGCACCGAACAGCCTGGATATACTGGTGCTCTGCCCATGTCTGTGGCTCAAGCTCACTCCCCCATGCATTTCTGCCCTGGGCCCCATGCACTCAAGTGTCCCCAACACCGCCCAATTCCCCCCACCCTTGCTATGGAGGGCTTTAGTACTCTTCCCCGCCCCCCGACTTATTTGCAGGGAGGTACTCTCCATGCTGCCCGGCTGCCAGGCGCATGTGGAACCCCCTCTTCCCACTCTCCCCAACCCCTTGCAGGCTGGATCTCTGCCACATTTGCAAGGGGAAACCCAGTTTCTCACACTTTCTCCTTTAAAGGAGAGAAATCTGTGTTTTACTGTGTTTTTTCTGTGGCAAACAGAAAACCCAGATCCCTGCTGATCGCCCTCCTTCCTCTCCCCCACCCTCCCTACATTGGAAACCCAGTGTTTCCAACATTTTTCTTCTTTAAAGCAGAAGATCTGTGTTTTACCACATTTTCTGTGGTGAATGGAAAACCTGGATTCCTGGTTAGTAGGCAACTGTCATTTAGTGCAGCTGGTAAATGTGAACAGTGTGTGTGTGGCTTGGAGAAGCAGAGCATGTGGTCATGTTGTGGGGCAGAGCCTGGACTGTCCTGGCAGTAAGCCTATACCTGGCTTGTGGTTCCACACTGACATTAGAAAATATCCATACCTTTAAAAAAAAAAACACACACACAAAAAAACCTGTTAAGCATAGCACGCATGTTCCTGTGCTGCTGATGGCCAAGAAGCAGTTGCCAACAACCAAAGCAAAATGAAACAAAAACCCTTAAGCACTGGAGGGGAAGAGATGTGCTATAAGAGCATTTTACAGCATCTCTGTGAAGCTCTGCTTGGCATTAAACCTAAAGTTGGGGAGAATAAATTTACTACCTTAATGCTACAGGTATTTTCTGAGCAAAAAAATTATTCTGTCAGTGAAAGGGGATAGAATGAGAAAAATTGCCTTTTTGGGTGTTGCCACTTTTTAATGGACTTTGACGAATGGAGAAATGTCTTTTGACAACTGTTGAACTGTAAGTAGGAGGATAGTTTTTGTTTAGTGGGTACATCTAGCCTGGTGGTGGCCAATCTTTTTGGCAGGCATGCCACAAACTAGCCCTGCACCCTCCCTGAGTGCCACTCCAATTTTCTTCTGCCCAGTCTGCCACTGTGTTACCCATCTCCTCCTCAGCCTGTCATGTGCCATGTAGGTTGCCTGTGTCACTTGTGCCACAGGTTGGTCACCCCTGTTCTAGCCAGCTTAATGTTCAAAAGGCTGAGTTTTACAGATAAGCTATTCTGAGCTGTGGATATGCATAATAGCATCTCACTTAAACTTGCAGATGATAAACATGGGCTGGAAGGGACATCATAACTGGCCCATTCCCACAGATATGTAGGTAACCATATCCATGATCTTTTAGGTTGACTGAGTTCTATGTTGAAACTAGTTAAATTAAAAATGTTTCAAGTAACATATCTATGCTTCAGGGATGTATGTGGTAACTGTGTTGGTCTGAGATTAAATGAAAAAATCTAGAACTCTTGTTTCCAAAATAATACCTTTTATTGTACCTATGCTAGCTACCAACTTGAGGCCTCTTGGAGTACTTAGCAGTTTAGGGTGCTGGATGCTTCTTACAGTGTGTTTTAGTAGGATTCAACAGCACCATCTATTGGTAAAATATTTCTTAGCTCATTTAGACAGGTGGGAAGAGTACATGCATTGTTTTTTTTTCTTGAAAGTCTGAAGACAAATGACTACAAGTCCTGGAAGGCGGTACCACCAATATATATCAATTTATACCACCAATGTATATACAAGTGGTTGATATGTGATAGTATTAGTTTCACAAGAGCTAGGAAACTTGAGTTTCCTGGAGAGATCCAGGCAGTCTGTTCCACCAACACACAACTACAACTCCCACATTGTAGTTCACAGGGTTAGCACCAAGAATAAAATCCTTTAAGACAGACTCCAGTGCCTGCAGCAGAGGGCATGGAGGTGATAGCATTAGGGAGTTCAATACCTGCTTGAAAGTAGCTGGGGACTGCTCCTACCCCCCTTCCATTAAGAAAAGCAGATGAATCCTAAAACAGCATAGTCCCATTTAATGTTTGGGCTACAGCAAAGTCAGCATGCGGGCGGGGCAGTTTTCTTCTGGGAGAGTAGGAGACTTAATTCCACAGGAGCATGGTAGCTTTCACCCATATCTATAGCAAAGGGAAGACAGCCAGGAAGAAAGCTATAGCCTTTGAAGTGTGTTGGCTCTAAGGTGTGACTCTAGGAGTGGGTGATTATACAGAGGGGAAGGTTCTTTGAGGCTAGATGGAGCTTGTTTTTCATGCATCTGGTGTAATCAAGAATCATACTGGCCTGAAGGAAGTTGTGACAGTGCAGGGGTGGAGCACTTCTTAGAGTCCTTGCAAGATTTAAGAGTCTCAGTAAAGTGCTGTGTTCTTGCTTTGCATTTTCTATGCAACCAGGGCTGCTGTATCTTACGAGTCTTGCTCCAGTCCTGCTCAGTCTCTTGACCTCCCTTTCCATAGCTAAATTAAATTATATGCTATAAGGTGGCCTGAATAGTTCTGGAAAAGACGGGCCCTTTCTTTGTAATCAGTATACAAAAGTTGAGTGGGTGCGCTTATGTTAAATCCACCAAGGGTGCTGAAGTAGATTTAAGATTTGTCAGTATCAGGATCTTGCACGCTCCCTTGACCTTCCCCAGGTGGGTTGAGGAGAGAACAGAGCCTCTGAGGACCAGGGAGGAGGCTGCCATATTACAAGGTATCTAGAGAGGGTTTCTTGCTATTTGGGACCAGCTTCTCTTCAGGGAGCTCCTCTATCACGGCTGCTTTCAGCAGTACAGTTCCTGTTGGGTTCACCTTAACTTTCAAGAAGGAGACCCAGTTATGTAGTCCATAGTCCTCACTGGTAGGGAGGATCTGCTGGATGGAGCATGCGGGGTTGCATGCTAGTCCGTTGCCAAGGAATGAGGTAGCAAAAGTGAAGAGCTGTGGCCCTCCAATCTCATGCCGGTTCACCACAGCCACAGCATACGCTCTGCCTGTCAAAGGCCGCTCCCACAGCTCAAAGTTGTTATCCTGCCAAGAGGAAAACAAACAGGTTTATGATTGGGCAGAGTGGGTAATAGCTGCTTTCTTCCTTAGCAGGCAGCAGCATCAGCAAGAAATGAGTTCTCTGTGGGTTTGTCTTCCAAAACTTTGCTCTGCCAATGAACTCTGAAGGCTCTGCCACTGAACCTTCAGCAACCCACTTGCCTGTATTGGGGAAGACCCTCTCCCCCCTGCCACTATCTCCATTTCCAGCATACCCTGGTGATGCGGTATCCTTGCTTGCCTAGTGGGTCCTGATTGATGGCAATAACCTCCTTGTTCTGGAGCAGCCTCTTCGCTTTTGGACTAATCTGACGCAGGTCATTGGACATGAACAGTGGAGCTGCCATGATAGCCCACAGTGCCATCTGAGTCACCTGCTGGTCCCAGCTCAGTCCAAAGTTCCCAATCACCAACTTGGACAAATGGAGAACAAGAATGTTAGTATCTAGAGGTGGGGTTTCTTGCTCGGTGCTTCTTTGGGTTGAAATCGGGAAGACAAATAACAGCACTGGTTAAGTGACAGGATGGATGTACCATCTCTAGTGCACAGAATGTGTCATGCTAAGACATCCTAGTTCTAGTAACAACTCTGGACTAGGCAGCAACAGCTGGCAGAGAGGTGGGGGGCAAGATCATAGTTCAAGCAGTAATTTAGGGACTTTTGGGGAAAAAATACGGATTTCTTTTAGCACATAAACCTGTGGGTTCCCTGCTTTTGCAAATAGCTCTGCAGGCTGGTTGAGCTCCAGCCTGCAAGAGCTGTTAGCAAACAGGGCAGCAAACCCCCAGCCCTACCTGGAGGGAGAGGGGAAAAGGCAGGGCCTGAGGCTCTCAGTCAAACACAGCTGCTCAGCTCAACCTCACTCTGCTTCTGGAGCCTGTGAGGTAAGTGGGGCTTGCAGGGGCTAGGGGCCCCTCTGGCAGGGCTGGGGGGTTGCAGGTCATGGCTGGGGGCGCTGGCAAGGCTGGGGCAGGGGGAGCTGGTACTGGTCCTGTCCCTGCTTGAACAGGCAGCAGCAGTGGGGGAGCTGGCTCCATGCTGCTGCTGCAGCTGCCAGCTGTTAGGGGCAGGGAGCTGCAGTCTTGGGTCCCTGGGCCTGTAGCCCTGGCAGCTGGGGGCAGGGGCTGTGGGTGGGGGTCAAGAAGCATGAGCGAGGGGCGGGCTCTTGTGGAGGTAAGTGGTACCAGCAGGGCTGGGGAAGGCATTGGGTGGGTGTTAAGGGCACCAGCAAGGCTAGGTGAGGCTGCAGGGGGCTTTTAATTTTAATAACGGATATGGGGGCTTTTGTCAGAGAATTTGTGATTTTTATTTATTTATTTTTTTATCAGAGAAAACCAGGATCCCTGCTGATGAAAGTAACACATTATAGGCTACTACCCCAACACATCTCCAACATCAGCTTGTTAGGGATATCTCTCCGTGTTTAATCCTTTAGCTAGGTCTAATCCTCTAGCTAACTCAGGTTGCATTGCTATGCGAGCTTTGTTCTCACCATGTCAGGGTCATTCCAGCCTCCTGGTCCAGCGACATCCACAATACTGTCTTGGTGAGAAGCTGTCCAATCTAAGATACTTTTGATGCTAATCCAGGCATCAAAGACGTCAGCAAAGTTCCTCCAATGATTGCAGTACTGCTTGACTTCTGTATAATTGGGCTGTCAGAAAAAGAGGGTGCCTCTTAGTGAGCATGGGCTTGAGGGTAAGGAGGCACACAGTGAGATGGGTTGTCATACATTCACTGGGAAGAATTGCATAGCTGGAGGCAGTGGACAGCCTGACAGGTTTTGTCACTCTGCCAGGGCCTGTACAAGGCTGTTCAGAGAGGGTGATCTTTAGTTAGTGATTACTAGTCTAGTTTCAGAAGCACCAGGCAATGACATTTCAATCATTCCTTCCCCTAGGAGAACATTCCTTGGCCACTCAACTCTGTCAAAATGGTTTTCTCCTTACTAATCAGCCTGATGGTTTTCCCTATCACACTCCATTACACTTAGTACCAGCCTAAATAATTACTCCCACTTTTTGTGTTGTAAACTCCTTGAGTACTGGTTAATGTAATGCCCTGTCTGTGTGACGTACCCCATGATTTCCATTGATGTATTGTACCCAGGCACTTCAAAATACCTTTCTGTCCTAGAGGTAAATAAACTTAATGAAGTGACTTAGCAACACTGGGAACAGCAATTCTATGAGAGAGCACTGCAGCACCAGCAAGTTGGTGCCTTGAGTATTTAGTTCTTATAGTTAAGACTCCTCGAAGGGGAATTGGATAAAATAAATAAGGGGACATGACAACATGCGGTTCGGCAGTGGCTTAGACCCTTCTTCGTGCCATAGCAGAATTGCTGAAGCCCAATGCAGGAATGCTCCAGTTGAGCTGTAGGGCAAAACTGGCCCTTGTAATCCTGTAGTAAAGAGGATGACCCAGGAGATCTGGGCAGCAGTCAAAGGCTCTTTGGATGCACAAATTCTCTGCCATAAGAGTCTATATACCATTCTTAGCTTACACTCACTTTCTCCCACTTCTCAGTCTCCTTCATTCAGCATTTCCCTTCAGCCACTATTTTAACCTTCAGTGTGTGTTTAACTTGCAGGCCCTGGAATTAGCTCTACAAGTTAATTTGATTCTTAGTATAGTGAATGTCCCCAGTATCTTCCCACTGGACATATCTAGAGACAATATCTTGTGGAAGGTCTCCTCACCTTTTGCACAGGTAACATGTAGAAAGGCCATTCACAGGAGTATACAATGCTTCTGCCAGTCTTATTCAGGGCCAGAGACATGTTTTTATAACCTAAAGAAGGGCAGAAGGTTGGGGTAAGAGAGTTGGGGTAACTTATTACCACCAGTGGATCAAACTATAAACTCCTGAAAAACAGGATGGATTACAGGTAATGAGATTACAAGAAGGCCAAGGAAGAAGGGAGGGGTTGCCCTAGTCCCAGCTGACGTCTGCATAGGCCAAAATCTTCATAGGACAATCACCTGCTTCAGGACACTGGAATGATAAGGCAAATTCACAAGCTATGGAGAAAATACAGGCTGCTGTTTACAGAAGAGGACTGGGAAGATGTACTCATCTGTAATCCCTGTCAAAGCCACCACGTTGCTATATGATTCTGGGCATGGGCATTATTCTGAGACTCATCCCTTGGTATGTGCATATTGTTGCGTTAAAGCAGCTTTCGCTGCCTTACTATAGGACTTTAGAGTTTGTATTGAGCAGACCCATTTGTTTTACAGAGAGCTGGTATTTTAGTGTCAGACGCCTTTCTCTGTACAGAGGGCTGTTTTGAGCATAGCTGCCTGTGGCTAACGTCTCAGTGCACCCCCTTTCCTATCCTAGGGAAAAAGTCACTTGGATTGTGAGGGAATGTAGAAGGTAACTCATTGGAGAGATTCTATTAGCTTTGTATCCAGAAGAGCCCTGTCCTATGGTGTCTTCTTTGACATGAGAGAACATTGGTAGAGAGAGAGAGAACATGATTCTTTGCTTCTCTCCCTACTGGGGTCAGAGCTATAAGCTGCCAAGAACTTTTAGCCTCACCCTCTGCTGCCTCAGGTACTTTCTGAACTGTGCCTTTTCCCCTAACAGGAACTGCAGACTGTATGTATTAGACCACTCAGCAGTGGAGAATAGTCCCCTTTCCAGATTGTCTGCTGCCAAACAGTACAGCAACACTAGTCACCCTTCTGATAATGAACAAATGCAGATCAAGTTATCTTGGGTGCACTGTTCCCTCTGAAGGGTATCTGTTACTCTGTCTCAGTGGTGAAGAAGTGCATGACTTGTGTGTGCTGAGACGCACCAGACCCCCAGCCCTGCCAGACTGACACACTTGATCACCATGGATTGGTAGTTTGGTTTGTCAGTCTGCTTTTGAGCCTTGAAGTCATGTGCTTTAAACAGAACTACCTCATTGCTTTCCTTCCCAGAGCTCTTAAATCTTCTTGCTCCTAAAAGCCACAGTAGTTGCACTTTTATGCTACGTATAAATAGTCCCATTGTGGCACTCCCTCATGGGGGTGATGGGGCTGAAATGTGCAACATGCTTTGAGACTCTTGGCTGAAAGGTTCTCTAGAAGAGTGAAGCCTTTTTCTCTTCCTGTTTGTTACTGGTATCTGGTTTTTGCCTTCCTCAAAAGTACTGGGTGTTGGCCTTAGCCAAGGCTGGGGATTTTAACTGGGATGTGCTGAGGCTTTGGTTGGGGCATAAACATTGGTGATGCATAGGGGGTGCACGTGGGTGCATGTGCACCCTAAGCTTGGCAGTGCACCCCCTGCAAAAAGCGTCATTGACTGCTGGCGGCACTTGTGGGCAGTCACCGCCCACTCCCCCTCCCCCCGACAGTATCTGCAGGCAGTCCTCAATTGCCGCTGGCCAACGCTGCCAGCATCTGTGGTTGGCTGTCTACTGCCAGTTGGTGCTTGCCACCCCACCCCCCAGCTGCTGACACCGCCACGGCTGCCTGCAGGAGCTCCCTGGTCACTGTCACCACAACCCTGCTGCTGCCTGCAGGTGGTCACTGTGTCCCCTCAGCCTCCAGAGGCATGCAGTGTTCATGGACATAAAACCCCAGAGGTTCCTGACTAGTATGTTTGCTCTTTTGATGAGGGTCAAAACGGTCATATTTGGGATCAGGAATTTTACTCTGTGGTTAGACTAGCACAGATTGTGGTGGGGGGAGGGGGGGTTGCCTTCCTCTATATGCGGGGGGAGGGGGTATGGACCTCTTCTTTGTATTTCTTAAGCATACTTTAACAAACCACCTTTGTAGCAGGGTACTGACAATGCCCTTGGCAAGTTAAAGGGGTAACTGGCAACATGCATTCCTGGTCCCTCAGCCAGGTGCTTCCTTTGGATTCCAGTAAGTTCCTGAATGACACCTTACCTCCCCTACACTTTTCACTATGCATAAAAATCTGCCCCTTTTCTAGATAAATGAGTAGGGCAAATGCATTTAGCAAAGAGCAGCTCTTTGCAACTTGTGCCTCAGTTCCAGGCTAGCACTAATGGGGGAAGCATTCCCACGTGGAACCGTCTCAAGTTGGTATGTACCTTCTGCCAGCAGGTCCAGTGTGCCATGGTAACAGCCATCAAACTTCACCAGGTCCACACCCCAGTCAGCAAAGGTTTGGGCATCAAGGTCATAATGGCCATAACTGCCAGGGTAGCCAGCACAGGTTTTGTTTCCAACATCCCCGTAAATCCCCAGTTTCAGCCCTTTGGAATGGACCTGGGAGAAACAGGAGAAATGAAGCCCCTTAAAGTAGGCTGGGCCTGCCCTGTGAAGTGAATTAACTGGTGAATATTTTTGTCAGCCCAAGAGCAGCTCAATTCAAGTGAATTTCTGCCGAGATACCTCTGGGATCCCCATCACAGTTTGCAATTGTAGGAGAAAGTGTGTGAATAGGGACCAACATGTCCCTCCCACCACAGAAGCCAGAGGGTGGTTGGGAGGTCCCTGCAGGCCTGATACAGAACGTGCCAGCAGCTGCACTGAGGGAGAACCACCACAAAGGCGATTCCAATACATTGAGCAAACCAGTCAGTTGTAAGAGGTCAGGGCAAGTTCCCTGCAGCCTCATGCAGCTCTCTGTGCACTAGCTGGGGTCCAGAGGAAAGATGAAGGTCTGGGGGGGGACCAAGTTGTGACCTCCCTGCACTCACATAGTCTGCCAGCTGGTGGATGCCATGGGGGAAGCGCTCTGGGTCGGGCTGGAGCCTGTCCCCACCGTCTCGGCTCGGTGCCATCCAGCAGTCATCGATGCAGACGTATTCATACCCCACGTCCCTCCAGCCGTCTGCTGCCAGCAAGTCCGCCATCTGCATGAACAGCTGCTCGCTGGGGCACCAGGAAAAGAAGCGGGTCATGCGAGCCCGAGGTACCGCAGGGTTGTGCCAAGCCGGGGTAGTAGCTGCTGACATGGTTTCTGGGGCGCTGCTGTCGCAGCTGGGTACTGTGGCAGGGCCGAGCCTGCTCCTGTTGGCAGCGACGGGCTCGGGAAGAGCCTCCCCGAGTGCGCCCCATTGTGCGCTTTAAACACTTACTATTGACCGCACCATGCGGGGGCTGAACTTATCGGACAAATACGGTAGTTGTGCTGCAGCAGGCCTGGGTGGCCGGGCTTGAGGCGGCTCGCCGGGCGATGGGGGCGGCTAGGCGCATGCACGATGCGGGGTAGTACCGCCGGGCAGGGTCGGGGGGGGGTCCGCGCGCACGCTCTCCAGATCCCCTCGCCCGCCCTCAACCTCCGTACCTGACGCATGCGTGCGGGGCGCTGGCGCAGTCCGTGGTACACAGGAACCGCTCCCAGTGCAGCCAGCCCATGGGGGGTGTTCGGGCCAGCCCGTTGTCCAGCGCGCCCGCCCCCTCGGCCAGCACCAGCAGCGCCACTGCCCAGCCCAACGCCACCGTCATCACCACAGATCGCAGCGACCCGCGGACCAATCCCTGCCTTCTGCTTTCCAATCTCGGCCAATAGGTGCGTGGTATTGTTAGGGTCCCGTCCACCCAGCCAGTAAGCTGCGACCTAAACACGAAAGCGCGGAGAGGCCGGTCACGTGGTTGGTGTGTGTGTGGGGGGGGTCATTGGCCAAACTGCGTGTCACGTGACGGGGAGATCGGGCTTGAGGTGCCTGCGCGGGGCAGTGGCACTAGTGCCTCCTAGGCGGTGGTGTCGTTGTCTTCTCGTGGCCCAGGCAAGGGCTGTCTGTGCCGGCAGTGCCGGGCGCGCCTGAGGCTGTCGCGGGGCCGGGACTTCTCTAGTGCAGCCTCCTGCTCCGGGCGGGATTTGGCGTGCGTGTCCCGCCTGCCTGGAGAGCTTCCGAGAGCAGAGATCGCACAATGTCTGTGCCACTACCTGGCGATCCCCCAGAGAGCTCCTCACCTCCGGCCTCAGTTTCCTCTGCTGCAGCTTGGTCCTGTCCCTACAGCCACAGAAAAAAGCCTCCCTCTGTAACGGCCTCGCAGGCATATGAAGACCTTTATCAAATCTCTTCTCGGGCTTCTCTGCTCCAGGCTCAGACCCAGCTCCTTCAGCCTGTTTTCATAGATGGTACCTTCCATGCAGTTGCCCCCGTATGGAAACGAATGTGGTGCTGACCTGGCAGCTCTGGAATCTGCTCTCGCCCTGCAGAGCTGCTCAAGAGCCCCTCCCCACCCTGGCCAGCGGCTGATGACATCTTGTTACTGTACTTGTCAAAGCGTCTATCAAGTAATGTCAGCCTTTGTCTGAGGAAGAGGGTCAAAAGGGGCTCAAATGCTCTGAGATGAGTTCCTCTGGCCTCCTTTGCTGAGGTTCCCGGCTGCTGACATAACAAACATTCAACACTTCTTAGGGCTTAGTCCCTGAATTTTGATAAGATCCCCCTAGCAGGCTGGCTACCTGTCTGCAAGATTTAGAGATGTAAAGATCCTTCATTTTTAGATTGCATATTTCTGCTTGGATCGTAAAAGCATATCTAGATATGCATTGCATTCATTATTTGCTAGCATATTCACAATTGGAGATTTTGATAAAATTTACTAATGCGGTCATTCCACTGAAGGATTCATTTTGCATGAGGACGGGCTATCTAAAGAAACCCTTAGACACCCTAATTTACTCTAGGAGTCAACAACATGCCTGCAGTATCTCCCACTTTTGGGATTACATTGCAGGTGGCACAGCAGTTGGAGTTGTCCTTCAAGCCTGGCTGCTCCTGGAATTAGGAAGAATCTCGGCCTTTGATTACCAAAACTGAAAATTTATAATGCTCCAAGTGCCTGAAACAAGCATGAAACAACCTGTGACCACAGCCCAAGGGCCCAGAAAACAAAAGGAGCCTGCCCTCAAATTATTTTTTAATGACTCTCATGATTTCTACCAGGCTTGTGCTTTTTGAATAACTAGCTTCCTGCATGGGATACTGTTCCAAATGACACAGTTTGTAACTCACTTCTTGCCTCCTTCAAAAGAATGTTGAGGTTCTTTCTCCTCCCTTTCTCATTTCTGAGCCTTTAGGGTTCCCCTGCTTCAATTTTTCAAATATTTCTTTGTAAGCGTGAGGGTTAGAAACTATTTAGAAACTATATATCTCCTTTGGAAAGTGATTCTTTAAAATGAAATAACAAGTATCACAAGACTTGCAGAACTAGTTAGAGTGAAAGCACCAGCTTTGCAATAAAAAAGCTTAGGTTTCACCATGGCCTCTACTAGCATCCTGCTTTGGGACAAGTCAACAACCTCTGCTCCACAATTGTGGAACCCAGGGTTCTGTGGAACACGGTTTGAAAACCACTGACCTAGGAAGTCACCAGTGCCTGAAGCCACTTCTTCCTTCTTTGATATAAAGTCCTTCTACAGGTTTAAGCAGCTAAGAAGTTTAGAGATTACTCTTTCCTTGTGGCCCACTGGGGAGGCATTTCTCTAGTGCAGCAGACTGCGATAAAACTGAGTACTTTCACCTCATTCTCCCTGCACATACCAGTAACATTGGATATTAGATGTTTCCAAAGGGATTGGTTTTTCATAGATTTCATAGACATTAGGGCTGGAAGGGACTTTGGAAGATCATCGAGTCCAGCCCCCTGCCCCAGGGGCAGGAAGTCAGCAGGGATCATAGGATACCAGCAAGAGAAACATCCAGATGTCTCTTGAAGTATCAAAGTAGGTGCTTGAATCACCTCCTGCTGCAGTCTATTCCACACCTTGGGGGCTGAGACAGTAAAGAAGTTCTTCCTTATGTCCAGCCTGAAACGGTCATGGAGGAGTTTGTGACCATTTGACCTTGTCATCCCTTGGGGCACTCTGGTGAACAGATGTTCCCCCAGATCCTGATGAGCACCCCTGATAACCTTATAGGTGGCTACCAGCTCACCCTTGAGCCTGCGCTTTTGCAGGCTGAAGAGTCCCATGGCTCTCAGCTGTCATCATAAGGTCTGTTTTCCTGACTTGATCATGTGCGTGACTCTCCTCTTCACTCTCTCAAGCTTCTCCACATCCTTTTTGAATTGTGGAGCCCAAAACTGGACACAGTACTCCAGCTGCGGCCTCACTAAGGCCGAGTACAATGGGAGAATGATGTCCTGAGATTTGCTTTAGAAGCATCTATGGATGCAAGCCAGTGTTTTGCTTGCTTGACCAGCAGCAGTATCACACTGAAGGCTCATGTTCTTCTTGTCAATCATGACCCCCAAGTCCCTTTCGTCCGTAGTGCTAGCCAGTGTAGCGCTGCCAAGCCTATAAGGATGCTACAGGTTTTTCTTCCCAAGGTGGAGAACCTCGCATTTTTTGGTGTTAAACACCATCAGGTTCTTGTCTGCCCATTTCCTGAACCTGTCAAGGGCAGCCTAGATCACCTTCCTGTCCTCAGGTGTGGATGCTTTACCCCAGAGTTGGGTGTCGTCGGCGAACTTGGCTAGTCCACTTCTGATACCAATGTCCACATCGTTAAAGAAGAAGTTGAACAATATAGGTCCAAGAGTAGAGCCTTGAGGGACCCCACCGGTCACAGGGCACCATAACGATTGACTTCCGTCAACCACCACCCTCTGGGTCCTACCATGGAGCCAGTTCCCCAGCCAGCAGATTGCAGTGAGGCCGAGGCCACAGTTAGCCACTTTTGCCAAGAGGTGATCATGGGATACCAGATCAAAGGCTTTTTTAAAGTCAAGATATACAACATCAATCTCTTCTCCCTTGTCCATGTGATAGGTCACCTGGTCATAGAAGGAAATAAGATTGGTCAACCAAGACCTACCTGCAACAAACCCACACTGGCTATCCCTCAGGATATTGCCTTCAGCTACTCTGTTAAGGATGGCCTCTTTGATAATCTTTTCCAAGACTTTCCCCAGGATAGAAGTCAGGCTGATGGGCCTATAGTTTGCCAGATCCACTTTCCTCCCTTTCTTGAAGATAGGCACCATGCTGGCCTTCTTCCAATCTTCAGGCACTTCACCAGAGCACCAGGAGTTCTTGAAGATCCGTGCCAGGGGCTGAGCTGTGATGCTTGCCAGCTTCTTCAGTACCTTGGGGTGTAAACTGTCAGGGCCAGCTGACTTGAAGGTATCCAGCCTCTCAAGGTGTTCCTTTACAAGGTCAGTATTGATAGAGGGTAAGGAATCTCCCTCACCTGGGCCTCCCTGTCCCGTAATGGGCAGGGGTGTCCTATGGGACTGGTGAAAGACCAATGCAAAGTACCCATTTAGTAAGCTGGCTTTTTCCCGGGTGTCAGTTGTCAGTTGTTCCATCTGGTTTAGCAGGGGTCCAGTATTGCCCTTGCTTTTCCTCTGGTTCCCCACATATCTAAAAAAAGACTTTTTATTGTCCTCGATACTTGTAGCTAATTGGAGTTCTGTCGTAGCCTTGGCTTTTGTGGTTTGCTCCCTGCAGGTCTGGACCAGTGCAGAGTATTCCTCCTTGGAGGTGCAGCCAATCCTCCATCCTTTGTAGGTCTTTCTTTTTAGATGCAGGAGGTCTGCTAGTTCCCTGGAGAGTGAAGGGGGCTGCTGTGCCCTTTAGCTGCCTTTCCTCTGAGATGGGATAGACTTTGCTTGCACATCCAGGATTGCTCCCTTGAGGAGCAACCACTCTTCCTGAACTTCCCTCCCCTGTGGGTCATGGTCCCTTAGGGCCTCACTGACAAGCTTCCTGAGCTTGTCAAAGTTAGCATTCCTGAAGTCAAGGACTTCTGTATTGCTGACTGACTTGCCAGATTTACGGCTGACGGTGAAGGTGATCAGCTCATGGTCACTGTCACCCAGCTTCCCTTTGATCGTTAGGTTGCTGATAAGGTCGTCCCACATTGCCAGTACCAGGTTGAGCAGCATTTTATCTCTCATCAGCGGGTAGACTTCTTGAGTCAGATCGAGCTCATCCACACACGTGAGAAAGCA